GGGCGGGCGGGGCCGGACGGGACGGGAGCCCAGTTACCCCTGGGCGTCCTCCATCCTCAGCTTTAGCATCCCGGTGCGCCAGTCGTGGGCTCAGCACCGAGCCCAGATGGCGGCGGCCAAACCCTGAGCCCCGGACGCCCCACGCCGCCCGGACGGAGCCTGCGGGTCGGCGAGCAGCCTCTCCCGACCACAGGCGCTCACCCTTGCCTGCGCTGTGACCGGGAGCCATGATGCACGCGCTTGCAGACGTGTTTGGAATCGGGTCCGCACCTAGCGGGCTCCGCATGGCGCTCGCCCGTGTCACCTGTGCTCCGAAGAGATAATTCTATTTGCAGAACTTCATTAGGTGGAGTGCTTTCCGCGGTATGGAATATTCCACTTGACTTCACACAAAACCCGCCACCTGGTCAGGTGGGTGCTTATTCCGCTGGGCCAAGCGAACACGTGCCTGCTAAGCCAGGAGTTTAACCCCAGGCCCGAGGCCCAACCCTGATAACTAGCCACAAAGCTCCAAAATCCTTCACTTTATCACCTCAGTCTTACTTTTCCACGGAGCACAGTTTCTAATAGGTTTAGCCCTTTCGGTGACAGTTAATGACATGTTACTCTATGTCACTTGTTTTCTTGTGCACGTGCCCGCGCATGCTTGTACTGGGACTTGAACTCGGGGCCCGGGTGGTGTCCCTTGGGTGGTGTCCCTTAGCTTTTTCACGCAAGGCTAGGACTCTACCACAGTGCCACTTCTAGTTTTCTGGTGATTGATTGGAGATAATAATAGTCTCAGGGACTTTCCTGCACCCGATGGCTTCAACCACGATCCTCAGATCTCAGCCTTCTGAGTAGCTAAGATGATAGGTGTGATCCACCAGCGCCAGCCAGGCTGATGTCAGGTTTTTGATACTCCTAAAGAAGTTTATGTTAACTTCTCTGCTCAAAGTTAAAAGGTGTCTTCTTGCTTCAAAGGCTCCTCACATACCAGGCCCAAAACACAGGCTTCAAAATAGTCTTCCTGGAATGAGTGTCACATGTCTTGGTGTAATGCTTCTGACCCAGCTCCCTTTGCTCTGCCCACTCCTCCTTGATGTTCTCCCAACACCTTGCTGGCTCCACCTGAAGGCCTTTGCACATGCTCTTCTGAATATTTACTTCCTCCAATGCAGTCTTTTCCGTGAGACTTCCAAATATGTTTTGATTCTAAGCATTTGATTATTTATTTATTTATTTTTGTCCATTGTGGGGCTTGATCTCTAGGCCTGGGCACTGTCCCTCAGCTCTTCAGCTCAAGGCTAGCAACTCTACCACTTGAGCCACAGCACCACTTCAGGCTTTTTCTGCTTTGTGGTGCTGAGGAATCGAACCCAGGGTCTCATTCATGCAAGGCAAGTGCTCTACCACTGAGCCACCGTCCCAGCCCAAGTATTTGATACTTAATTCTGTCTTTCCTGTCTTAGTTCTCTTAGTCCATTTGTTCTGCTGTATATAACCAAAGACCCAATAGTTGGTAATTTACTTATTTTTATTTATTTATTTATTTATTTGGGTCCAGTCGTGGGCCTGGGCACTGTCCCTCAGCTCTTCACCTCAAGACTAGCGTTCTACCACTTGAGCCACAGCGCCACTTCCGGCGTTTTTTTTTTTCTGCATATGTGGTGCTGAGGAGTCGAACCCAGGGCCTCATGCATGCAAGGCAAGTCTGCTACTGAGCCACCTTCCCAGCCCATTATTTTTAAATTCATTAATTTATTTCAGTGATATGGGGATTGAACTCAGGAATTCTCATTTGCTAGGCAAGAGCTGGCAATTTATAAAGAAGAGGTATTTATTTCTCACAGTCGTGAATGGTGGAAAAGTCTAAGATGAAGTTGCCTGTCGCACAGGCTATTCTGTGCTTCCAAGAAGATACCTTGTTGCTCCATTCTCTACAGGAAGTGACTACTGTGTTTTTGCTAGCAGAAGGGTTGGAAGGGGCCAAATAATTCCCACAAATCCTTTTATAAAGGTGTTAATCCATACAGGAGGGCAGGGATCTATGGCCTGATAACTCTGAAAGGCTCCACTCCTAGATGATTGTTTTAACTTCACTTTTTTTTTTTTTTGTTGTTGGTTCTGGGGCTTGAACTCTGGGCCTGGGTGCTGTCCCTTAGCTCTTCAGCTCAAGGCAAGCGCTCTACCGCTTGAGCTACAGCGCCACTTCCGGTTTTCTGGTGGTTTATTGGAGATAGGAGTCTCACAGTCTTTCCTGCCCTGTGGCTGGCTTTGAACTTCGATCCTCAGATCTCAGCCTCCTGAGTAGCTAGGATTACAGGCGTGAGCCACCAGCGCCCGGCTTAACTTCACTTTTAGAGGGGATATATAAGTTCAAACTGGAGCTTTTCAATGTTTTTGTACTTGACTCTAAATCTTCCCAGCTGAAGGATACATTTACCATTCCAGTAAACTGAATTCAGGGTACAGGGAATTGTGTGTGGTTCTGGGTTTTGAACTCAGAGCCTTGTTTTATGAGTCAGGTGTTCTCCACTAGAGTCTGCCACCAACTCAGATCCAAGGATTGTGTGTTCATGTGTGCACGCGCGCGTGCGCAGGTGTGTGCATGCACGTGTTCAAGCCTCAGAACTGGGGCTTGAACTTGTGATCTTGTTTTTTTCATTCAAGGCTGATGCTCTACCGCCTGAGCCACACCTCTGCTTTTTGCTTTTTACTGGTTAATTGGAGGGAGATAAGAGCCTCTGGATTTCTCTGCCCAAGCTGGCTTTGAATCATGATCCTCAGATATTAGTCTCTTGAGTAGCTAGGATTACAAGTGTAAGCCAGCTGCACTCAGCCACCTTTTGCTAAGGAGTCATTTTGGTAATCCTAATGGGACATATTGTTCTAGGTTAATGCCATATATCTTTTTTTTTTTTTTTTTTTGCCAGTCCTGGGGCTTGAACTGAGGGCCTGACTGTTGTCCCTGTGCCTGTTTGTGCTCAAGGTTAGTGCTCTACCACTTGAGCCACAGTGCCATGTCTGGCCTTTTCTGTTCATGTGGTACTGAGGAATCGAACCCAGGGCTTCATGCATGCTAGGCAAGCACTCTACCACTAAGCCACCTTTCCCAGCTCAATGCTATACATCTTTTTTTTGGTGGGGAGCGGGGGTTTGGGGCTTGAACTCTGGCCTGGGTGCCATCTGTCAGCTCTTCAGTTCAAGGCTAGTGTTCCACCATTTGAGCCACAACTCCCCTTCTGGTTTTCTGGTGGTTTATTAGAGATAAGGGTCTCACGGACTTTCCTGCCGTGGCTGGCTTTGAGTTGCGATCCTCAGATCTCAGCTTCCTTAGTAGCTAGGATTACAGGCATGAGCCACCAGCGTGCCTGGTTGCCTTATATCTTAAAAGAGATGGTCTTTTAGATCTAACCTTAATTTATTTTATACTGGTTACCTTCAGTCTACTTAGAGGAATATGTCATTTTTTTCCATTCCAACGACTTTCAAACTTAAAGTCCTTGAAATATGTAATTGTCTTTTCCAACCACTTTTTTTTAAAGATCATTGAACTTAGTGGGAATCTTGAATTCTGTAATATTATTAGGAATATTATACAATTTCCAGTTGACTTTTGTTGATTTTTTGCCAGCCCTAGGGCTTGAACTCAGGACCTAGGCACTGTCCTTGAGCCTTTTTGTGCTCAAAGCTAGCACTATACCACTTGAGCCACAGTGCCACTTCTGGGTTTTTCTAAGTAGTTTATTAGAGATAAGTCTCAGGACTATTCTGCTCGAGCTTTGAACAGTGATCCTCAGATCTCAGTCTTCTGCTTAGCTAGGATTACAGGTGTAATATATTTGACTTTGGGTATATAATGGATATAATGTTTCAAAAGCATTAGTTTAAGAAAATCTGAAAAGTATCACCCATTGTATTTTATTATTATTATTTTTTGTCAGTCATGGGACTTGAACTCTGGGCCTGGGTGCTGTTCCTCAGCTCTTTAGCTCAATGCAAGCACTTTACTGCTTGAACCACAGCTCCACTTCTGGTTAGAGTCTCATAGACTTTCTTGCCCGGGCTGGCTATGAACTGTGATCCTCAGATCTCAGCCTCCTGAGTAGGACTAAAGGCATGAGCCACCAGTGCACAGCTATCACCCATTTTTGTTTTTGTTTTTTTGTTGGTTGTAGGGCTTAAACTCTGGGCTTTGGTGCTGTCCCTGCGCTCTTCAGCTCAAGGCGAGCGCTCTACCGCTTGAGCCACAATGCCTCTTCTGGTTTTCTAGTGGTTTATTGGAGATAAGAGTCTCATGGACTTTCCTGCTCGGGCTGGCTTTGAACCACGATCCTTAGATCTCAGCCTCCTGAGTAGCTAGGATTACAGGCATAAGCCACCGGCGCCCGGCTATCACCCATTTTTATGACTTAATTTTCGATAAAAATTAACCCTTACCTGGACACTGGTGGCTCAATCCCTACAACTGACCAAGAAACAAAAACAAAACACAAAATCCTTGATATACTAGCAGTTGGGCTGGGCATGGTGGCTCACTGCTAGAAACCTAGCTGTACAAATGTCAGAGATCAGATGGTATTGTGGTTCAAGGCTAGCCCAAACAATCCACCCCCCCCCCCCCCGCCCCCCCGCCCCCCCACTCCCCATCCCATGTGTTACAGTGTGTGCTTAAGCACAGTAGGCATTAGCGGGGGTAGTCTAGGCTGGCCAAGTAAAAAATGTGAGATCCTGTTCCCCAAATAACTAAAAGCAAAAAGGACTGGGGCCATTCTTCAAGTGGTAAGAGTGCCTTTTAGCAAACATAAGGCCCTGAATTTAACCACTAATACTACAAAAAAAAGATAAAAAAGTTAAAAAATACTTGTAATTATTATATGTCCTGTAGAGTCAGTGTTATTGAGTTACAACTGCCTCTATGGATAGAGCAATTTCTTTTTCTTTTTTTTTTGGTGTCGGCCGTGTGGCCTGGGTGCTATCCCTCAGTTCTTCAGCTAGTGCCCTACCACTTGAGAGCCACAGCACCACTTCCAGCCTTTTCTGCTTATGTGGTGCTAAGGAATTGAACCCAGGGCCTCATGCATGCAAGGCAAGTACTCTGCCACTGAGCCATCTTCCCAGCCCGGATAGAACAATTTCTATGTTCTTTAAAAAGTTTATTTTTGCTCCTTCCTGTCTCTTACTGCCATTGAAAGGTCTTAATGAAATTATTTTTTGCCGATCATGAGGCCTAAACTCTGGGCCTGGGTGCTGTCCCTCAGCTCTTCAGCTCAAGGCTAGTGCTCTACCACTTGAGCCATAGCGCCACTTCCCTCTTTTTCTGCTTATGTGGTGCTGAGGAATCAAACCCAGGGCCTCATGCATGCAAGGCAAGCACTCTACCACTGAGCCACCTTCCCAGCCCTTCTTTTTTTTGGGGGGGGGTCCGGTCGTGGGACCTGAACTCTGGGCTTGGGTGCTAGCGCTCTACCACTTGAGCCACAGCGCCACTTCCGGCTTTTTTCTTTTTTCTTTTGTGGTGCTGAGGAATCGAACTCAGGGCCTCAGGCATGCAAGGCAAGTGCTCCACCGCTGAGCCACCTTCCCAGCCCGACCCCAGCCCTTCTTAATAAATTTCTTACCCTCTGTTTTTGGGGATGTATGTGCTAGGGATCAAACCCAGGACCTTGTACATTCCCAAATGTCTAGTCCTTCATTGTTGGGCATATTTTAACAAATGCCTTAAGCCTTTAAATAGGTCTTCCACATCCTTGTCCCTCATGCCAGTTCCTTTCCTTCATATGGTCTTTCAGGTATGCAAATTGCATTATCATATCAACAATACATAAGAATTATTTATTCAGTATGGTTGTCACTGTGCTTGCATCTCCTTAGTGATGAGCAAAGAGTGTAAGAATTAGCCATGCTGGCTTTGGGCTCAGTCTGCCTATAATCTTGATTGCCTTGCTCCTTGTGCAGTCTTTGCCTCTGTTTCTTTACCTAAACAGTGGGACTCACAATAGTATTTACTTAATAAGGTTGTTGTTGAAGTTCGAAACGTGCCAAGATTATAGGCATGAGCCACTGGCACCAGCAAGTTTCCTTTATTTAGCTTGAGGTTTTAAAAAGGTTCATTCCTGTAGTATATATCAGGGATTTGGACTTAGGACCTTTTCTTTATTGTGCATGCATTCTACCACTTGATTTATGCCCCAGTAGGGTCTCATATTTATGTCCAAGTGAGCCTGGACAGTAATCTTCCTATTTACATGTCCTCTGAAGCTAGAATGACAGGTGTGCTTCACCATGCCTAGCTTTTTCTTGGTTGAGATGGACGTGCCCTGGGCACGGTCCTGAGCTGCTGCTGCTTTTTTTTTTTGGGATCCGGTCGTGGGGCCTGAACTCTGGGCCTGGGTGCTGTCCCTCAGCTCTTTAGCTCAAGGTGAGTGCTCTACCACTTGAGCCACAGCGCCACTTCTGGCTTTTTTCTTTTTGCTTATGTGGTTCTGAGGAATCGAACTCAGGGCCTCAGGCATGCAAGGCAAGCGCTCTACCACTGAGCCATCTTCCCAGCCCCTCTGAGCTTCTTTTGCTCAAGGATAGCACTCTATCACTTGAGCCTCAGCGACACTTCTGGCTTTTTCTGTTATGTGGTATTGAGGATTTGAACGCAGGGCTAAGCAAGCATTCTACCACAAAACCACATTCCCAGCTCCAGTGTTTGTTGTTTCACATTAAAAAAAAAAAATTGCCAGGTGCGGTGGCTCACGCCTGTAATCCTAGCTACACGGGAAGCTTAGATCTGAGGATCTGGGTTCAAAGCCAGCCCGGGCAGGAAAGTCCGTGAGACTCTCATGTCAATAAACCACTAGTAAACCAGAAATGGCACTGTGGGTCAAGCGGTAGAGCGCTTGCCTTGAGCTGAAGAGCGCAGGGACAGCACCCAAGCCCAGAGTTCAAGCCCCACGACTGACCGAAAAAAAAAAATTAACAGTGGTGATGCATGCCTGTAATCTCAGTACTATAAAGGCTGAGACAGGATGATCGTCTTTTTCTTTTTTTGTTGGTTATGGGGCTTGAACTCTGGGCCTGAGCGCTGTCCCTCAGCTCTTCAGCTCAAGGCTAGTGCTCTACCACTTGAGCCACAGTGCCACTTCCAGTTTTCTGAGGTTTATTGGTGATAAGCGTTTCATGGACTTCCCGCCCAGGCTGGCTTTGAATTAAATCCTCAGATCTCAGCCTCCTGAGTAGCTAGGATTACAGGCGTAAGCCACTGGTGCCTGGCAGTATGATCTTGAGCTCTTGATTGGCGTAGGGTACATAGCAAGATTATCTCAAACAAAACAAAACAAACAAAATTGTTCAGCCTAGGCATGGTGGTACTTGTGAGTAATGCCAGCACTTGGGAGGCTGAGGCAGAAAAATGAATTTGAGGCAAGTCTGGGCTACATAGTGTGACTTTGTCTCAAAAAATGCCAAAGGGGCTGGGAAGGTGGCTCAGTGGTAGAGCGCTTGTCTTGCATGTATGAGGCCCTGGGTTCGATTCCTCAGCACCATAAAAGCAAAAAGAAAAAAGCCGGAAGTGGCACTGTGGCTCAAATGGTAGAGCGCTTGCCTCGAGCTGAAGAGCTGAGGGACAGCGCTCAGGCCCAGAGTTCAGGCCCCACGACCAGACCCCCTACCCCCCCCCAAAAAAAAAGCCAAAATAGCCTAATGGTATCTAGTCTTGACTTGCATTTTTCCTAATAACAAAATAAAATCTCTCTTCTCTCTTGTGGTTGGTCTTATTCTATTATCTTTTTTTTTTTTTTTGGGTCCGGTCTTTGTTTAGGGTAGAAGTAGGATCTTACTATCTTGCCCAAGCTGGCCTGGAACCCTCAGCTTCCCAGGTGCTGGGATTGCAGTTGTATATCACTACTCCTGGCTTAAATAAATATTTATCATGTATTTCAGGAGATATGCCTGTTATATTAAAAAAAAGCACTGAAACATCTATTTTTCTCTCTCTACAGGACAATCCTCCTTGTGTGGGTTGTGTTTGACTTGAAATTGTACCTTTTTCACTCCAGCTGATTTTGCAGGGTTTCGAGAGCAGCATTCATAAATTTCCAGGTATGAAAAAAGTGGGAGTTTTTTTTCTTTTGGGTGTGGAATTGAAGCTAGAGCTTGAGCATGCTAAGTATAAATTCTACCACTGAGCTCCCTCCCTTTATTCCAAGTATGAAAAAAATTTAATTCTTGACATAACTCATTTAAATATGTACATAATAAGTGAAATTTTTGCACTTTTTTATTTTATATATCGGAGAAAGGATTTACTAAAAGTAAATGAAGCCAGGTGCTGGTGGCTCATACCTGTAATCTTAGCTGCACAGAGGCTGAGATCTGAGGATTGTGATTTGAGCCAGCTCAGGAAGGAAACTCTGAGACTCTTATCTCTATCTTTAAACACCAAAAAAAAAAGCCAGAAGTGGAGCTCCTCAAGGGACTGAGTTTTAAAGATCACAGTTCTGGCTTTTTCTGCTTATGTGGTACTGAGGAATCGAACCCAGGGCCTCATGCATGCAAAGCAAGCACTCTACCACTGAGCCACCTTCCCAGCCCAAGTCTGAGATTACTCAGAGCTGCTTTTTTTTTTTTTTAATTGGTCATGGTGTTTTAACTCAGGGCCTGGGCACTGTCCTTGAGCTTTTTTTGCTCAAGGCCAGTGCTTTACCACTTTGAGCTACAGTGCCCCATCCATGCAACTTATTTAAATAAATATAGATTTACTTTTTTATTTAGGATTACAGGTGTGAGCCATCATTGCCCAGCTTCATTCTTACAAATCTACCAAAAGGGCTGAAAATGTGGTACTTAGTGGTACAGTGCTTGCCTAGCATTTATGAAGCCCTGGGTTCAATTCTTCAGTACCATATAAACAGAAAAAGCCAGAAGTGGTGCTGTGGCTCAAATGGTAAAGTACTAGCCTTGAGCAAAAGAAGCTCAGGGACAGTGTCCAGGTCCTAAATTCAAGCCCGAGGATTGGGGGGAAAAAATCTATCAAAAGGAAAAAAAATTATTATTATTATTACTTTTTTGGTTCTGGTCGTGGGGCCTGAACTCGGGGTCTGGGCGCTGTCCCTCAGCTCTTCAGCTCAAGGCTAGCGCTGTACCTCTTGAGCCACAGCACCACTTCTGGCTTTTTTTTTCTTCTGTTTATGTGGTGCTGAGGAATCAAACCCAGGGCCTCATGCATGCAAGGCAAGCGCTCTACCACTGAGCCACCTTCCCAGCCCCTCCCTGAGCTTTTTTTCTCAAGAATAGCACTCTACCACTTGAGCCACAGCTATCTGCCTATGTCTCCTGAGTTGCTATCTTCAATTGTATGTCAGATCTGTATTTCCAATGGTCTTATGGCTATCTCTATCCAATTTCCCATTCACTGTAAGCCACATGAAACCTGGGCCATTGCTTTTCTTCTTTTTTTTTGGTCAGTCATGGGGCTTGAACTCTGGGCTTGTGCGCTGTCCCTTAGCTCTTTAGCTCAAGGCTAGCACTATACCACTTGAGCCACAGTGCCACTTCCGGTTTTCTGAGTGGTTTATTGGAGATAAAAGTCTCACGGACTTTTCTGCCTGGGCTAGCTTTGAACTGTGATCCTCAGAACTCAGCCTCCTGAGTAGCTAGGATTATAGGTGAGAGCTACGGGCACCCGGCTTCCATTGCTTTCTTCTAAAAACAAGTCTTCCTCTTGACTTCACAATTTCTATTAGTGATATCTTAGACACCTAGGTGTAAAGGACGTTGTTAAGGCTGGGCATGGTGGCTTGTGCCTGTAATACCAGCATCTTAAAAGTTAGACAAGAGGATGAATGTTTTAAGTTCAGCTTAGGAAAGAAAGTTATTGAGACTCCCTTTCAACAAAAAGCTAGACATTGTGGTTCATATCTAGAATCCCAGCTATTCAAGAGGAATAGGAGGAGTATCATGGTCCAAGACCAGTCCAGGCAAAAAGTATGACCTTATCTGAAAAATAAGCAAAGAGTGCTGAAGGTATGACTTAGGTAGAACATCTGCCTACCAAGTATTTATACTGAGTTTAAACCCCATTACCACAAAAAAAGGGCCTTATAGCTAGCCTTCTGTAACCAATGAACTGTGGAAGCCCATTGATTCCATTCCCATTTCTATTTTTATCACTGGGTGTAAGTAACCAGGCTAAGAATCACAATGAAAATGAGAGAATTGTTCACCTGCAAGTAGCTTGGTTTTCTCCCTCTAACTCCCTATTTCTTTCTTCAATAAAAATATCAGCTTCTAGAAAACTTGTTTCTAGGTCCTGCTGCTCTTTCTCCTGAGTGGCCTTTACTTTTTCTTTAAATAAGCTCTTTATAACTATGAAAAAAAAGCTTCATTTTTTTTTTCTTTTTTTGTCAGTCGTGGGGCTTGAACTCTGGGCCTGGGCACTGTCCCTGAGCATTTCAGCTCAAGGTGAGTGCTCTAGCAGGTAAGCCACAGTGCTGTTTCTGGTTTTCTGGTGGTTAATTGGAGATAAGAGTCTCACAGACTTTCCTGCCCCGGCTGGCTTTGAACCTCGATCCTCATATCTCAGACTTCTAAGTAGCTACGATTACAGGCCTATTCCACCAATGCCTGGCATTACAGCTTCTTTATTCTCACAATAGAAAGCTAAAATGATACTTGTTTCTGTAGCATAAGAATCTTTTTTTTTTTGCCAATCCTGGGTCCTGGCCCAACACTGTCCCTGAGTTTCTTTTGCACCAGCTCCACTTCTAGCTTTTTTTTTTTTTTTTTGTAGTTTATTGGAGATAAGAGTCCTGTGAGCTGTCTTAGAACCATGATTCCCAGATCTTAGCCTCCTGAGTATAACAGGCATGAGCCACTGACACCCAGTTCTCCCCTCCCCCATCTCTATACCCTGCCCAGTGTTTTATTTTACAATTTTTTCTTTGCCAGTCCTGGGATTTGAACTCAGGTCCTGGGCTCTGTTCCTGAGCATCTTTTGCTCAAGGCTAGCAATCTACCACTTGAGCCACAGCCCTACTTCTGTTTTTTTTTTTTTTTCTGTCATGGGGCTTGAACTCTGGGCCTGGGCCATGTCCCTCAGCTCTTCAGCTCAAGGCGAGTGCTCTACCACTTGAGCTACAGCGCCACTTCCGGTTTTCTGGTTGTTTATTGGAGATAGGAGTCTCACGGTCTCTCCTGCCCGGGCTGGCTTTGAACCGCGATCCTCAGATCTCAGCCTCCTGAGTAGCTAGGATTACAGGCGTGAGCCACCAGCGCCCGGCATTGTTTTTTTTTTTTAAGTACTAGCCTTGAGTTAAAGAGTTCAAAGCCCCACGGATGAACAAAAAATAAAAATAAATAAAGACTACTTTCTTCTCTAATGCACATTTTTCATTTGTGTGTGTGTGTGTGTGTGTGTGTGTGTGTATGAGAGAGACAGAAAGAGACAGAGAATTTGAGTACTGACTGGGGCTTGAACTCAGGGCCTAGATGCTGTCTTTGAGCTTTTTTGCTTAAGACTGTCTACCACTTGAGGCCACAGCTTTTGGTGGTTAATTGGAGATAAGAGTCTTACAAATAAGAATGTAGCTTAGTGGTAGAGTGCTTACCTACATAAACAGAAAAAGCAGAAGATGTCCCTGTGGCTCAAGTGCTAGCCTTGAGCAAAAAGAAGCTGAGGGACAGTGCCCAGGCCCTGAGTACAAGCCCAGGACTGGCAATAAATAAAATATAATAAGAGTCACAGACTTTCCTGATCAGGCTGGCTTCGAGCCATAATGCTAGATTTCAGCCTCTTGAGTAGCTAAGATTATATATAGTCTCAAAGCACCAGAGCCTGACTATGTTTAGTTTTTTTAATTTTTTTTCTTTTTTTTAATTTTATTTGTGAACATACTGTACAGAGGGGTTACAATTACATGGGCAGGATAATGAGTACATTTCTTACCAAGCATTGCAGCCTCCTCCTTTTGTTTACCCTTCACATCCCTTCCCAGCCTCCCCCAGTTTTTTTAATTTTTTGCCAGTCCTGGGGCTTGAGCTCAGGGCCTGGGCACTGTCCCTGAGCCTCTCTCTGCTCAAGACTAGTGCTCTACCACTTGAGCCATAGCGCCACTTCTGGCCTTTTCTGTTTATGTGGTACTAAGGAATCAAACCTAGGGCTTCATGCTTGCTAGGTCAGCACTCTACCACTGAGCCACCTTCCCAGCCCTCTTTCTTTCTTTTTTAAATTTTATTTTATTGTAAAGATGCTATACAGAGGGGTACATGAGTAAGGTAATGAGTACATATCTTGCTGAGCATTGTTGCACCCTCCTTTGTTATTCTCCCACTATCCCTTCCCTCCTCCCCCTTCCTCACTGCACTCTCCCACCAACGTTGTAAAGTTCATTTCCAATGTAGTGTCTTGTGGGTATCATTGTTACAATGGGTCATCCTGTGTCCTTCTTTCACGGTTTTGTTATTCCCCTTCCCCTCCCCAAATTAGACAAATGTATATACAAATGCAGGATACCAAAATTAAGTACAGTGACAACAGGGGATATAACATAGTGGGGAGAACATACAAAAGAAACAAAAAAATCACATAGTACATTAAAAAATGACAACAAAGAACGACCTCTTGTGTCCATTTCTTGGGTTTCATTTCACTTAGCACTATTATTATTTTTATTTTTTGTCAGTCGTGGGGCTTGAACTCTGGGTTTGGGCACTCTCCCTGTGCTCTTCAGCTCAAGACAAGTGCTCTACCACTTGAGCCACAGTGCCACTTCCAGTTTTCTGGTGGTTAATTGGAGATAAGAGTGTCGTGGACCTTCCTGCCTGGGCTGGCTTTGAACTACGATCCTCAGATCGCAGCCTCCTGTAGCTAGGATTACAAGTGTTAGCCACGGGTGTCCGGTTTAAGCATTATCTTATATGGTCATATGTACATAGCTTTTGAGCTTTTCTGCTCATCTGATAAAATTATCCTAGAGAAGATACTAGATATTAAACATCATGTTTGGACTGTATTGAAAATTGGGCCACTCATATAAGAAGGGTCATAATTTTGAGTTCACCTGATTCAGAGCTGGCTTGGGTTCTGAGAGCATCCCTTGTGAACAACTTAATGGTGCTCCAGGGGCACCTCAAGCGGGATTAAGTAGGGAAAGACACAAACTTAAATATCTTATCTCAAGGACTTTTTCTTTTTTACTCAAGACATTACAAAAAACATTTACCAGTCCAACTAAAGTTGTAGTCATTGGAGAGGTCCAACTTCCTACCTCTAATAAAACTGAGTTTATTATTAGTAAAAACCTAATGAATAATGACTAGCCCTTGCAGGAGTGCTTGTAGCCAAAGCTCTGCTCCCTCTTCTCTGCTGGCATCTTGGAATTTGCTGTTCTTGTAAGCTCAGGCACACATTTAATAAGTTTGTGTTACATTTTAGCCAGCATCTCCAGAAATTATTGCCAAGAAGTCTACATTTTCTGGACCATCACTTTGCTGCAACCAGAATCTTTCTCTTCACTCTAAGACAGCTAATTCCTGATCCTTTTTTTTTCCTTGTTGGTCATGGGGCTTGAACTCAGGTCCTGGGCACTGTCCTAAGCTCTTTTTGCTGAAGGCTAGTGCTACACCACTTTGAGCCACAGCTCCACTTCTGGTTTTCTGGAGATCAGAGACTCATGGACTTTCCTGCCCAGGCTTGAACCACAATCCTCATACCTCAGCATCCTGAGTAGATAAGGTTACAGGTGTGAGCTACCAGTGCCCAGCCCCTGATCACTTTTGAGAACCAAGCTTAATTTTCTTTTGGGGGGTCCGGTCGTGGGGCCTGAACTCTGGGCCTGGGCGCTGTCTCTCAGCTCTTCAACTCAAGGCTAGCGCTCTACTACTTGAGCCACAGTACCACTTTCGGATTTTTTCTTTTTGATTATGTGGTGCTGAGGAATTGAACCCAGGGCCTCATGCATGCAAGGCAAGTGCTCTGCCACTGAGCCACCTTCCCAGCCCCCAAGCTTATTTAATTTTGTTTTATTTAACTTATTTTATTTTGCCAGTCCTGGGGCTTGAACTCAGGGCCTCTTGTTCTTGCTTGTGTTTTTTTTTTTTTTTTTTCATTCAAGGTTAACAATCTATCACCTCTACTTTTGAGACCTTAACTTACATGTTACTTCTCAGGTATTGCTTCCCTTCCCCATCCAACCAAGCTAAGTTTACCATACATTTACCAGTCCTGGTGCTTGAGCTTAGGATCTGGGTGCTGTCCCTGAGCTTCTTTTGCTAGCACTCTTATCACTTGAGCTATAGCTTCACTTCTGGCTTTTTTTGTAATTTATTGGACATAAGAGTTTCACAGGGGGCTGGGAAGGTGGCTCAGTGGTAGAGCGCTTGCTTTGCAAGCCTGAGGCCCTGGGTTCGATTCCTCAGAACCACATAAGCAAAAAGAAAAAAGCCAGAAGTGGCGCTGTGGCTCAAGTGGTAGAGCACTCACCTTGAGCTAAAGAGCTGAGGGACAGCACCCAGGCCCAGAGTTCAGGCCCCATGACCGGACCCCAAAAAAAAAAAAGAGTTTCACAGATTTTCCTGACCAGGCTTGACTTTGAACCATGATCCTCAGATCTCAGCTTCCTCAGTAGCTAGGATTACTACTTACAAAATTTTCCTCGCTGGGTACCAGTGGCTCATGCCTATAATCCTAGTTTACTCAGGAATCTGAGATCTGAAGATCACTGTTTGAAGCCCGCCTAGGCAGGAATGACCATGAGACTCCTCTTTTTTTTGGGGGGGGTCCAGTCGTGAGGCCTGAACTCTGGGCCTGGATGCTGTCCCTCAGCTCTTCAGCTCATGGCTAGCGCTCTACCACTTGAGCCACAGCGCCACTTCTGGCTTTTTTTCTTTTTGCTTATGTGGTGCTGAGGAATCAAACCCAGGGCCTCATGCCTGCAAGGAAAGCACTCTACCACTGAGCCACCTTCCCAGCCCCGACCATGAGACTCTTATCTCCAGTTAATCACAGAAAAAAAATCACAGAAATGATTCTTTGGCTTAAGTGGTAGAGCACTAGCCTTGAGCAATAGGAGCTGAGGGGCAGTGCCCATGACTAGAGTTCAAGCCCAGGATTGGCAAAAAAAAAAAAAAGAGAGAGAGAGAGAGAGAAAACCCAAACTTTAAGTCCAGCACTTACCATTGGAATTGTCACTATAGTTTGAAAACTATACAGAGTTAAGAATCTAGGCTCAATCTACAGAGTTGATTTAATTAACAATTTCTGAAAATCTAGCAAATAAGAGTATCCAATGTGAAAGTTATTTTGTTATATATATATATATACTTTTTTTTTTTTTGGTCTGTTGTAGGGCTTGAACTCTGGGCTTGGGCCCTGACCCTGCGCTCTTCAGCTTAAGGCAAGTGCTCTACCCCTTGAGCCATAGCACCTTCCGGTTTTCTAGTGTTTTCTATTGGAGAGAAGAGTCTCACAGACTTTCCTGCCCTGGCTGGCTTTGAACAGTGATCCTAAGATCTCAGCCTCCTGAGTAGCTAGGATTACAGGCAAAGCCACCAGCGCCTGGCAGGAAAGTGGTTTTGATAAGACAAAGAGGCTTGCTTCTGGCTTTCTTTGTGTCACCCTAAATGGGGGTTGTTCTTTCCTGTGGTAACTGCCTGTGTCTCCCTGCAGAATGGAGATCTCCTCTCACCAGTCTCATCTCCTGCAGCAACTCAATGAGCAGCGCAGGCAAGATGTGTTTTGTGATTGCAGTATTCTAGTTGAAGGAAAGGTCTTCAAAGCGCATCGCAATGTGTTGTTCGCTAGTAGCGGCTACTTTAAAATGCTTCTTTCTCAGAATTCAAAGGAGACATGTCAGCCAACCACAGCTACATTTCAGGCATTCTCTCCTGACACTTTCACAGTTATCCTGGACTTTGTCTATTCTGGCAAACTCTCTCTTACTGGACAAAATGTCATTGAAGTGATGTCTGCTGCTAGCTTCCTTCAGATGACTGATGTCATTAGTGTATGTAAGACTTTTATTAAGTCTTCCTTGGACATTAGTGAGAAAGAAAAAGATCGCTACTTCAGTCTCTCAGATAAGGATGCCAATTCAAATGGCATAGATCATTCCTCTTTTTATAGTGGCAGCTGGCAAGAAGAAAGCAGTTCTCCACGTTCGCACATCAGCCCAGACCTAGGAACAGGTATAATAAGTGGAAAGCCATGGAGTAAATATAATTACCATTCAGTCTCCCAAAGGAATACTCAACAACCTTTGGCCAAGTATGAACAAAGGAAAGATTCCATTAAAAAGACCAAACATTTGAGATTATCTCAGCCTTCTGAAGTTGCTCATTATAAGTCAAGTAAAAGAGAAGTACGGATATCTGATTCCTCCAGCCAAGTTTCGCCGCAGACTGAAGAACAAGCACAAGTTGATGCTGAAGTGAACTCACCTCCTGTTGCCTATCCATATAGCCAAGGAAATGAAGTCACTTCCCGGAGTTTTCCAGGTACTTAAAGCACAGCCCCCAACGGGGTTCAAGATTCCCATGGAAAACAATCCTATCTCAATATATCCTTAATTGTAGGTGCTGTGAACAGTTGAACCAAATGATTTTTTTTGTTGTTGTTGTTGGTTGTGAAGCTTGAACTCAGGGTCTGGGTGCTGTCTCTGAACATTTTTGTGCTCAAGGCTAGCATTATCAATTGAGCCACAGTACCAATTCTGGCTTTTTCTGAGTAGTTTCATTGGAGATAAGAGTCTCTGAGACTTTCCTGCCCACGCTGGCATCAAATCAAGATTCCCAGATCTCAGCCTCCTGAATAGCTAGGATTATAGGTGTGAGCCACCAGTACCTCGCTAGTATATTTAAAAAAAATTATTATAGGGGAAGTGGTGCTGTGGCTCAAGCGGTAGAGCGCTCGCCTTGAGCTGAAGAGCACAGGGTTAGTGCTCAAGCCGAGAGTTCAAGCCCCATGACCGACAAAAAAAAAAAAAAAAAAATATATATATATATATATATAGGGCTAGAATGTGGCTTAGTAGCAGAGCACTTGCCTAGCATGAGGCTCTGGGTTAGACCCCCAGCACTGCAAAACGGAACAAAACGAAATAATGTTTACATATTAATAAGTATTCCCTGAGTAAAAACAACAACAACAAAACAAAAACCTATAGTGAAAATAGAGACTAAATCATTTAGAAAGACTTAATTAAATGTAATCCAACACATAGACATAGGTTTGGAAAATCATGGGTTTCAACCCTCAGTGCTGTATTTATTTTGACTGCCATTATGTATATCCAAGATTATTATGAATTAAACATTTTAAACTAATGTCCTATAAGGCTGGGATTGTGGCTCAGTGGTAGAGTGGTTGCATAGCATGCATGAAGCCTTGGGTTGGATTCCTCAGTATCACATAAACAGAAAAAACTGGAAGTGGCACTGTGGCTCAAGTGGTAGAGTACTAGCCTTGAGCAAAAGAAGCTCAGGGACAGCATAACATAACAAAACATAAACATAACATAAACAAAACAAAGTTAATATGGTGAAGAATGAGCTTTTATATGAACTTTTTCCCCCAAGGGTGTAGTAACTTAGCAACACATACTTATTTCTTCTAAAAAATAAAAGAAGGGTCCTGTCAAATGACTTCTTGCAAGATGAATCATACATGACACTGTGATTTTCCTTTAGAAGTGTATATGGATCTGGATGATTGTGCCCTTTCTTTTTTTCTAAATTTTTTCTATTGTTATTATAAAGGTGATGTATAGAGAGGTTACAATTAGATAAGTCAGGTAAAGAGTACACTTCTTAGCCAGGCACTGGTGGCTCAAACACATAATCCTAGCTACTCAAGAGACTGAGATCTGAGAATCACAGTTGTTTTGAGGTTAACCTAGGCAGAAAAATCCCTGTGAGATTCTTATCTCCAATTAACCTCTCAAAAACCGGAAGTGGCACTGTGGCTCAAGTGGTAGAGTGCTTGCCTTGAGCTGAAGAGCTGAGGGACAGCACTTAGGCCCAGAGTTCAAGCCCCATGACTGGAAAAAAAAAAGTAATAGTAATAAAACTAGGCTTGGTATAACATACCTGTAATCCCCCTACTGGGGGAATAGAGGTAGGAGGATTGAGAGTTGAAGGCCAACCTGAGCTTTGTTGGGAGACCTTGTCTAAAAAAACAAAAACAAACACACAGACTCACTATTACCACAAGAGTTTCACCAGCATATGAAAAGTAAAGGCAAGAGGATAAAATGTGACAATAAACTGCTTGAATATTAAGTCCTTTTACCTCTACTAATTAAGCCATGGCACCACTTCCAAGTTTTTCTGAGTAGTTTATTGGAGATAAGAGTCTTCCATAAGTCCAGTATGGGTGGCTCATGCCTATAATACTAGTTACTCAGGAGGCTGAGAGCTAAGGATCATGGTTGGAAGCTAGCCCAAGCAGGAAAGGCTGAGAGACTCTTAGCTCCAATTAGCTACCAGGAAATTGGAAGTAGCACAGTGGCTCAAAGTGGTAGAGCACTAGCCTTGAGAGAAAGCTCAGAGACAGTGTACAGGCCCTGAATTCAAACCCCAAAATCAACAACAAAGTCTCACAGACTTTCTTGCCCAGCTGGCTTAGAACCATAATCCTCATATCTCAGCCTCCTGAGTAACTAGGATTCTATAGGCATGAGCCACCAGCACCTGGCTGTATCTATAGTTTTAAAATCCAGTATTACCTTTTGACATTTAAAATCTGAATAGTGGACTGAGAATGTGGCTTAGCGGTAGAGTGCTTACCTAGCTAATGCATGAAGTCCTGGGTTAGATTCCTCAGTACCACATACACAGAAAAAGCTGGTATTGGCAATGTGGATCAAGTGGTAGAACACTGGCCTTGAGCAAAAGAAGCTCAGGGACATTACCCAGGCCCTGAATTCAAGCTCCAGGAGTGGCAAAAAAAAGAAAAAAAAAATCTTGCTGGGCAGCAGTGGCTCATGCATGTAATCCTAGCTACTCAGGAAGCTGAGATCTGAGGATCGAAATTCTAAGCCAGCAATTCCAAGCCAGCGTGGGGAAGAAAGTCCATGATACTCATATCTCCAATTAATGACCAGAAAACTGCAAGTGGCGTTGTGGCTCAAGTGGTAGAGCACTTGCCTTGAGTGAAGAGCTCAGGGACAGTACCAAAGCCCAGAGTTGAAGCCCCATGACTGACAAAAAATAAAACAAAGCCGAGCGCCTGCCAGTGGCTCATACCTGTAATCCTAGTTACTCAGGAGGCTGAGATCTGAGGATCAGGTTCAAAGCCAGACCAGGCAGGAAAGTACGTGAGATTCTTTTTCTCTTTTTTTAAATTTTTATTGTGAAATTCATGAGATTCTTATCTCCAATAAATCACTCAGAAAACTGGAAGTAGCACTGTGGCTCAAGTTGTAGAGTGCAAGCCTTGAGCTGAGCCACAGTCAGTGCTCAGGCCCAAGAGTTCAAACTCCATGGCCAAAAAAAAAAAATCTTAATAGCATTTGAAATCTACATTGTTAAATAAAAGATAAAAATGTCAGTCTAAATTTATCTAGGCTCTTTAAATATATAGATACTGTAGTTAAGAGTTATATACACAGGATTATGTTGACAATCTAGTCTTAATACTTTCTTTTTTAATCTTTTCATTTTTTTTGTATACACTTGTTATTATAATGTCTCCAGTGACTTATTCACACTGTCATGACAGATGATCTGCCCAGGATGCGATTCAAGTGTCCATATTGTACACACGTGGTGAAACGGAAAGCGGACCTCAAGCGCCACCTGCGCTGTCATACAGGAGAGAGGCCCTACCCATGCCAAGCTTGCGGAAAAAGGTTTAGCAGACTAGACCATCTAAGTAGCCATTTCCGAACAGTATGTATATGATTTTCCATCATTTTACTTCTTGAGAAATATGTGCAACTATCTGCTTTAGGATAATCAAGTTTATAGAGGGAAATTTCTTTCTTTTTTTGGTGCTGGTCATAGGATATTGTCGAGCTTTTTTTGCTGAAGGTTAGTGCTCTACCACTGGAGTCACAATTCTATTTCTGGCTTTTTTGGTACTTAGAGTAGATAAGAGTTTCACAGACTTTCATGTGTAGGCTAGATCTGAACCATGCTCCTCAGTTCTTAAATATATAGAGAGCATCTACTACTATGTGCCAGATCAACTGAAAAAAGAAAAAAGGCAGAATCTTTGCTTTTATTAACTTCAGGAGTGCAAACCTGCAATCCTAGCACTTGGGAGAAAAAAGCAGAAGATTTTCATATTCCAGCCTAGCCTGGGCTACATAGTCAGTTCAAGGACAGTCTGAGCTTTGTAGCAAGACCCTGTCTTAAAAAACCCAATGGCCCAGCACCAGTGGCTCACACCTGTAATCCTAGCTACTCAGGAGGCTGAGATCTAAGGATTGCAGTTCAAAGCCAGCCCAGGCAGGAAAGTGTGAGAATCTTATTTCCAATAAACCACTCCGAAAACAGGAAGTGGTGCTGTGGCTCAAGTGGTAGAGAGCTAGCCTTGAGCTGAAGGGCTCAGGAATAGCCCCCAAGCCCAGATTTCAAGCCCCATAATCAATAAACAAACAAAAAATCCATCAGCTGTGCTGAGAAGGTGGCTTAGTGGTAGAATGCTTGCTTGGCATGCATGAAGCTCTGGGTTTCATTCCTCAGTACCACATAAACAGAAAAAGCCAGAAGTGGCACTGTGGCTTAAGTGGTAGAGTGCTTGCCTTAAGCAAAAGAAGCTCAGGGACAGTGATCAGGCCCTGAGTTCAAGCCTCAGGACTGACAAAAAACAACAAAAAAAAAACCTTACACACACACAAAAAAAACAAGGGCCAAAATAATAATAATAATAATTTGGGGCTGGGAAGGTGCCTTGCATGCATGAGGCCCTGGGTTCAATTTCTTAGCCCCACATAAACAGAAAAAGCTGGAAGTGGTGCTGTGGCTCAAGTGGTGGAGTGCTAGCTTTGAGTTGAAGAGCTGAAGGACAGTGCCAAGGCCCAGAGTTCAAGCTCCATGACAAACAACAACAACAAAAAAAAAAACAAGGGCTAGCGATGCAACTCAGTGACAGAGCTCCTGCCTGGCATGTGCAAGACACTAGGTTCATCTCTAGGACTGCAAACATTTTTTACAAAATGTTAATAGAACAAAAGTAATAAATATATATTATAGAAAATAAGAAAATGGAAGTGAAGGCATTTTTCAGCAGTAGCGTACCAGCCTAGCATGTACAAGGGCCTGAGTCCAAACCCTTGATCTTAAAAAAAAAAAAAAAAGCAGTAAATATAAAATACAAATACTATATTCCCAAGATTCAGATGTCACTATTATTAACAATCCTATTATGTATTTTCTTGCAAAATCTCTTCTTTGCATATATATGTGCTTTTTAACCAAGATGATATTATATTATACATGTTGTTTTATAACCTGCTACCTTAGGGGAACAATCTGTGCTTTCATATCTCAATAAAATTTTATCTGCTGGGTGCAGGTGCCCACGCCTATAATCCTAGCTACTCAGGAGGCTGAGATCTGAGGATCACAGTTCAAAGCCAGCCCAGGCAGGAAAGTCCATGAGACTCTTATCTCCAATAAACCATTCAGAGAACAGGAAGTAGTGCTGCTTGCCTTGAGCTGAAGAGGGCAGGGAAAACGCCCAGGTCCAGAGTTCAAGCCCCACAACCAACAAAAATAAAAAAAAAAAATTATCTACTACCAAGTTGAATTTCAAATTTCACCACTAAATATGTTTCATAGCTGGTCTGTCAAGGCAGAGTCTGGTCCAGGATCATATATTTCACATCACTGCTAATCCTTTATCAACAGTTTTGGTTTGGGGAGGCTTTTTAGCAGTACTGGGGTTTGAACTCAGAGCTTTGCACTTGCTAGGAAATCTCTCTACCTCTTCAGTCATACCTCCAGCCCTCTTAAACTATGCTTTCAATGAAACATAACTTCCCCCATGTACGTATGTTCTTCTTACCATGAAACTATATTATTGAAGATACTGAATCAATTATTTAAAAAAATTTGCATCTGAATTTGTTTGCTTCCACATGGTATCATTAACTCTTGCTTATTCCCTCTTCACTTTCTTTCTTTCTTTCTTTCTTTCTCTCTGGGCCTGGGTGCTGAGCACTCTACCACCAGAGCTACAGCGTCACTTCCAGTTTTCTGGTGGTTTATTGCAGATAGGAGTCTCATGTCTTTCCTGCCCAGGCTGGCTTTGAACCGCGATCCTCAGATCTCAGCCTCCTGAGATATAGGCGTGAGCCACTGGCACCCAGCTCCCTCTGCATTTTCTATAAACTAGTTTTATGTAAGCCCTAATGAATTCAAGTTAAGCACTTTTGGGTAGAACACATCAAAATAGAAGTTGTATATTTCATATTATGTCACATTAGTAGAGACATAATGCCGTGTGGGTTGGATTGGTCATTGATGATTTAAAATCGGTTAGCTCTGTGTAGTGATACATTCCTGTTATCCTAGCAGAGGTAGGGATCAAAAATTTTTTAAAAAACTAAAAAGAAAAAAAGAGCTGGAGGCAAAGCTCAGGTGGTAGAGTGCCTGTCTCACATGTGAAAAAGGTGGCCCTGGCTTCAATGTCCAGTACTGCCCCTCCCCCCCAAAAATGTTGATTTCTGTCTTGAGGTGATGGTACTGTGATTTTCCATCAGCTACCCAAATGAACCAGTTGCTAATCTTTATCCAAATTAATACTTTTACCTGGGGTTGTGAAATGATTTCCTGATCGTTTCTCATTCTTCCTATACTATTAGCTTGAAACCAACAGAGTAAATCCTTCTTTCATTACTTGTGGCTATTTCGTTACTTTGAAATACTTTTTAAAAAATTCTATTTATTGTTTTACAGCCGGGCGCTGGTGGCTCACGCCTGTAATCCTAGCTACTCAGGAGACTGAGATCTGAGGATCACGGTTCAAAGCCAGCCCGGGCAGGAGGGACCGTGAGACTCCTATCTCCAATAAACCACCAGAAAACTGGAAGTGGCGCTGTAGCTCAAGTGGTAGAGCGCTTGCCTTGAGTTGAAGAGCTGAGGGACAGCGCCTAGGCTCAGAGTTCAAGTCCCACGACCGACAAAAAAAAAAAAATTCTATTTATTGTTTTATAGGTCATGGGGTTTGAACTCTGGACCTGGGGGCTATCTCTGAGCTCTTCAGTTCAAGGCTAACACTCTACTACTTGAGCCACAGCACCACTTCTGGTTTCCTGGTGGTTAATTGGAGATAAGAGTCTCATGGACTTTCCTGCCTGAACAGCAATCCTCAGCTCCCAGCCTCTTGAGTTGCTAGGATCAGAGGCATGAGCCACCAGTGTCCAATTACTTTTTTTTTTTTTTGTCCGTTGCCGGTCTTGAACTCTGGGCCTGGGCGTTGTCCCTCAGCTCTTCAGCTCAAGGCAAATGCTCTACCACTTGAGCCACAGCACCACCTCCAGTTTTTTGGAGGTTTATTGGAGATAAGAGTTTCACAGACTTTCCTGCCTGGGCTGGCTTTGAACCGTGATCCTCAGATGTCAGCCTCCTGAGTAGCTAGGATTATAGGTGTGAACCACTGGTGCTCCGCTCCCAGTTACATTTATTTTTATTTATTTATTTATTTGCGTATTTATTTATTTTTGTTGGTTGTGGGGCCTGAACTCTGGGCCTGGGCACTGTCCCTCAGCTCTTCAGCTCAAGGCTAGCACTCTACCACTTGAACCACATTGCCACTTCCAGCATTTTCTGCTTATGTGGTGCTGAGGAATCAACAGGGCCTCATGTATGCAAGGCAAGCGCTCTACCACTGGGCCACCTTCCCAGCCCCTACATTTATTTATAATTACCACTTTTTATTTTATTTTTTGATTCACAACAGTGTTTTTTTTTTTTTTTCTTTTGCAGTCCTGGGGCTTGAATTTAGGGCCTAGACACTATCCCTGAGCTTCTTTTGCTCAAGGCTAGCACTCTACCACTTGAGCCATAGTGCCACTTCTGGCTTTATTTATGTGATACTGAGGAATTGAACCCAGGACTTCATACATGCTGGGCAAGCAGTCTATCACTAAGCCACATTCCCAGCCACACAACAATATTTTATGTTTGAAGGTTTAAGTAATCCTCCTGCCTTAGCCTTCCCAGTGGGTAGGACTAAAGGTGCCTACCACTACATCCATCCCTTTTTGTTTGTTTGTTTTTTTGCCAGTCTTGGGGCTTGAACTAGGACCTGGGCACTATCCCTGAGCTTCTTTTTTTCATTCAAGGGCTAGCACTCTACCACTTGAGCCACAGCATCACTTCTGGTTATTTCTGTTTAAGTGGTACTGAGGAATTAAACCCAGGGCTTCATGCATGCTAAACATTCTACCACTAAGTCACATTTCCAAGCATATCCCCCACCCCCTCCCCCGTTTTTTTTTTTGGCAGTTGTCATGCTTGAACTGAAGGCCTGGGTGCTCTCCTGGAGCCTCTTTGTGCTCAAGAATAGAGCTGTACCAGTTGAGCCATAGCACCATTTTGGTTTTTGAATGGTTAATTGGAGATGAAGACTCTCACCAGGACTTTTCTGCCAGGGCTGGCTTTGAACTACAATCCTCAAATGTCAGCCTCCTGAGTAGCTAGGATATAAGAGTCTCATGCCGGCTTTTCTGCCCAATCTGGCTTCTCACAGTGATCTTCAGATTCAGTCTCCTGAGTAGCTAGGATTACAGGCGTGAGCCACTGGCACTGGGCTTTTTTTTTTTTAAACGATATTTGGTGACTTATTTCTATGCTACTCTAACTTTATCTAAATGCATATTCCACAAACATTGTTCTAACATTATGTAATTAACTCATAATTTTAGGATAGAGTTCATAATTTACTACTCTAATAGCTGCCATTAGAACTGCTGATCACTAATGGTAATGATGATAGATAATCATTCACTTGTTACAACATTTTTTTGTTGTTGGTTGTGGGGCTTGAACTCTGGGCCTAGGCACTGTCCCTGAGTTCTTCAGCTCAAGGTGAATGATCTTCCACTTGAGCCATAGTACCACTTCCTGTTTTCTGGTGGTTAATTGGAGATAAGAGTCTCATGGTCTTTACTGCCCAGGCTGGCTTTGAACCATGATCCTCAGATCTCAGCCTTCTGAGAAACTAGGATTACAGGCGTGAGCCACTGGCACCGGCAGGCTACAACTTTTTTGTTTGTTTGTTTTGGTCCGTAATGGGACCTGAACTCTGGGCCTGGGCACTGTCCCTCAGCTCTTCAGCTCAAGGCTAGCACTCTACCACTTGAGCTACAGTGCTACTTCTGCCTTTTTCTGCTTATGTGAGGCTGAGGAATCGAACCCAGGGCCTCATGCATGCAAGACAAGCGCTCTACCACTGAGCCACCTTCCCAGCCCCTACAATTTTTTTTTTTTTTTTTTGGTCGGTCGTGGGCCTGAACTGTGGGCCTGGGCGCTATCCTTGAGCTCTTCAGCTCAAGGCTAGCGCTCTACCATTTGAGC